GGGGGGGGTATTTTCTTTAACGACCATGTAGTTTGAAGGTTTAAGTACGGCTGCACTTCCTTTTCATGAAACAAAAAGGGAGAAGAGACCCGTCTGTACGTCTGATTTCGTTCAAGATGATCAGTCTGGCAAAAAGCGTGCAAAGTTCTTCAAATAAAACATATCATTGTATGCAAACAAAGCTAACAGCCTGTCATTTAGGTGGGGTGGGGTGGGGGGGGGGCTGCTTTTCCTCCCCCTTTTGGGAACCGCACTCATGTGCTCTACTTTTTCTGGCTTTTTTAATTGTAGATTTTATGCCCCATCGATGCAGTTTGGATCATTTAATTAGGAGTCGGATTTCCTACCCTGCCTGTCAGGGCCAACCCGGGCTGAAAGGGATGCAACACCCCATCAGAAAGATCGAGACACTCGATAAATATTCTCCCCACAACAGAATCGAACTGGGATCCCCTGCGTGAGACAGCCAAGCATCTAACCGCTACACAACAGACACAGATGTTGCCAGTATACCTAGACATAGTCTACAAAACACTTTGCTGTGACTTCAGATCAATGTGTGTAGGCATAGCTATGCAAATCAGGTTTAGTGTGTAGGCCTACTTTGTTAGGACTTCAGATCAAAGAGAACACGGATATGTAGACAGTAGACAGAGTCTACTACAGATATTGTTGATAAGACGTCATGCCTAAGTTATAAGACATTTAGCGGATTGGTATACTACAAGAGTTAAATCGAGCCAATCCTATTCTACCGGTGCGAAGCATGGACAATCAATAGACAGCTGGAAAGAACAATTTAGGCGACAGAGTTGTGGTTCATAAGACGCATGCTGCGTATCCCAAGGACAGCTAGAAAAACAAATGAGGTCTTGGTTGAAGCAAATTACAGACGACAGCTTATAACGAATATACGAAAGCGACAGGCAAATTTCATTGGGCACACAATGCGGAAAGAAGCATTGGAGAATATTGTAACAACGGGCAAGTTTGATGGAAAGAGAGGCAAGGCAAGACAGAGGGAAAAGATACTGCACAAGTTGACAAAATGGCTGG